CATTTTGCAGCACACGAATGCCCGGAAGAGCTGGTTGGTGATTTGAGGAAGATGTTTGGGAAGAAAGGCCCAGCATATGGGGTTGTCCCGGGAAAGGACGGGTATTGAAAGTGGCAACATGAATAGTTAGCTCACTTGATCTACTATTCTCGCTTGCACAGGAACGTCTCAACGGGTATTTTTGCTAACGTTTCGCCGTTTCCTCGAATTTTACTTCAACATACGGTCAATGATACTAAATTAGGCAATGTTAAAGCTGCTGTTATCGCCTCGCATGCCATGCGCGTGACAGGATAAGCGACAAATCTCGTTTTGTTGAGCAAGTGAACTTCATCAGACGACCTCTTTCTGACTGCTACTGTTCCATTACTTAGCCTTGCTGCTGTTTCCGATATAAGTACCCTTCTCTCTCCAGCAAGCTGAAATAGGTGCAGTCGCCACCTTTGACCTGGTATTCACCCTGCCTTTGATCATCCTGAGGTGTTTTTTGTACTCCAGAAGGGTCTGTTTATGGACTTCTCACATCCAGGTTGAACCTGTAAACTGAGAAGACCCTGTGTTCACGGATATGTCGGTATGCCATAGCTGTGTGGGAAGCATTGATAGATATCGCGGAAATACGGACCGTGCATCAAGGCTAACGTTTGAACATCGAGGGTTGTATCAAGGGTTATATCAAGGGTTATTTTTTCCAAGAAGAATCTAAGGTAGAAAATGAGTCATGGGGAACGAAAGTTGAGTCAGCACATGCACTCACGCGATCACGGATGGTGCTAAGTGCACGATAACGGCGGGCTCTTGCTCCATGCGTCCCAACTCGTCCATTCTCTTGGAACCTCCTGCTTATCCATCATCTTCACATGCGACTTTTGTTATGGTTTTTTTGACCCATCAATTCCCATTAATCATTATATGACTCCGCTTCGGGTCCGGAAGGCGGGAACTTAGATGACGCCATTTCCTGGCTATTTCTTTATAAAGATGCTCACTTTTCAACGTTGAATCTCAACAGTTATCATGTCCGCTGAAGTTCCCTTCCAGATTTCAATCCCAGATTCCAAACTCTCCACTCTTCAACAAAAGCTTGCCTTGGTTGAATTTCCTGACGAGCTAGAGGGTGCCAAATGGGACTACGGTGTCCCTTTAGCCGACGTCAAGAGATTGGTTGCGAGGTGGAGGGAAGGCTTCGATTGGAGGGGGGAAGAGGCAAAGTTGAATAAGGAGCTTCCGCAGTTCACGAGGGATATCGCGGTTGACGGGTTTGGAGTGCTAAATATTCACTATGTGCATAAGAAGAGTGAGGTCAAGGGAGCAATCCCTTTGCTATTCGTTCATGGGTGTAAGCTAGTGTTTAGTCTTTGTCTCTCGTTTACTGATTGTAAGTTACTATGTAGGGCCGGGAAGCTTCATCGAAGTCAGAAAGTTCCTGCCGCTGCTCATCCAGTCTTCACCAGATTTTCCTAGTTTCCATGTCGTGGCATTAGGGTTGCCTGGATATGCCTTCTCGGAAGCTCCTCATAAACCTGGGTTCTCTGCTGATCAGTACGCAGAGGTAAGTATTTGCAGGTCTTTCCTTATAAAATCGTCCCTTTCTGATATATATCACTATCAGGTTGGTAACAAGCTTATGCTTGCCCTCGGTTATAATGAATATGGTCAGTCTTCCTCTGGGCCCGGAACGCGCAATGATTCATCTTGTTCCAGTCACTCACGGAGGAGATTGGGGCTCGCTGGTCAGTTACTTCATCGATTGATGTATACTTTTGTTCTAACTCGAAATGCAACAGATAACGCGCACCATCGCTCTAAAGTATGGCGGAGAACACAGTAAAGCGTGGCATACCACTTATGCTGGGGAGTAAGTGCAATCGCCTCATTATCGCGTTTTGCAGACTGATATGGCTGATATCAGTGCTCTTCCACTTCGCTTCTTCTCCAACCCAATTCTTTACATTCAGCATATGATCACACCTTATAGTGCTGCGGAAAAGGCTGGCTTGAAACGATCAGCATGGTTCCAGAAGGAAGGAAGAGCCTATTTCGATGAACAGGCTACTCAGCCTCAAACGTTGGGGTACTCACTCACTGATTCACCTGTCGGATTGCTTGCGTGGATATACGAGAAGCTCATCAATTGGACTGATGCCTATCCTTGGACTGATGATGAAGGTAACTAATGCTGATTCGTGTCATTCAGAGTCAATACTAAATTCGCGTCGCGATGTCTGGTAGTCTTGACCTGGGTCAGTATCTATTACTTTTCTCGAGCGGGTCCAGCTGCGTCTCTACGAATCTATTATGAAGTCGTTCACTCGAACAATGTAATGCATGTCATTACGCACAAGTCCAAGATTCCCTTAGGCGTGTCGCATTTCCCAAACGAACTGGGAATTGTCCCTAGAAAGTGAGTTGTCCTGCTCACACTGTCAAAGATTAGAATATACTAATGCTCGGGCGCACGACAGAGTTGTTCACACTATTGGAAATCTTGTGTTTCAGGCAGAGCACTCTAGCGGCGGTCACTTTGCTGCACACGAACGTCCGGAAGAACTGGTTGGTGATGTAAGGAAGATGTTTGGGAAGAATGGGCCAGCATATGGGGTTGTGCCAGGAAAGGACGGTTATTAGATGAGAGGTGACATTAAAAGTCAAACCTTCGATGTATACTATGTAGTCGTTATCCTAAATTAAGCAAAGCCAAAGCTGCTGTTATTGCATCACATGCAATGCGCGTGATCGGGTGAGCGATAAGTCTTTGTTTACCGACCGTCACCAGACGTTTCTCTACACTCTCATTCTCAATGCAAAGCTCCGGACAAGCACCTGCTGGTGCCACACAAGCGAAAGAGCGGCTATATACCCAGCTAGCAGGGAGTTTTGGGCGAATGAACCGGGCACTAGTGCAAACGTCTAATCTGTGCGAACTTCTCCAAATGGATTTGCACGCAATGCGGAATTTTGTTGGATTGGATGCTGCCATGTATGCTCTTGTCTTTTGATTTTGGAATTTTGTGATGTTGATGAATGTTCCATAATTCACCTGGTAATTTTCATGTAGGTTGATGACAGTCGCCGCTTCGTTGAACAATGATTCCGAAGAAGAGTCTTTGGAAAATGCTCAACTTTCAAACGAACAGTCTCGTCACGCGAAGGATTCAGGAGATGCAAAGGATTGATAATGGATTAAGCCATGAGCAGGGCTGGGCGCTGGCGAGATAGATAGAACGAATCGGTGATCGTGAATGTGGTTGGGACTTCGGGTGAGGGGTGAGTGTTGAATAGTTTCCTGTCTTCAACTGGAAATTGACCTTATTTGTCTAGGTTCAACTTTTATGTTCAATCAAAGACGTGTAATATACTGCCTAAAACCCATATTCAAAACACAAATTCTGTAAAACGCACGCTATTCTATTCCGTAGTACTTTCAGCGATCCACATGTCCCATATTGGCTTGATCAAAGCTTGGTTACTGTTCAAAAATCACCCGGACACGCAAGAGTTCTATGGCTTTTGCCTCTTCTCTTCGCGCCGGTGAGCTGTATTTGGACGATACTTTGGAGGTTTTAACTGTGAATATAATCCACGTAGATTGGCCTTCGCGGAAGGCAAGGGATATGCAGCAGCAGCTTCGCGGGTCAGTTTTGAACTCATGCGAAACGATAAAGGGCACTGCTGTCGGTAGTACGCCCAATTCGCCGGATCCCAAGTCGGTGCGGATGCGGACATACTTCGAAGAGGCAAGGATTCAATGGCAAGTATACCCAAACCTTGAAGTTGCCCATCGAATGTTTGTTCAGAAAGGAAAGGCCGAAGTGGGGAAAGTCAATTTTCTATCCGAAAACTAGGAGCGTTACTTCGTTCCTCACCAAGTTCTCCTTTCTCTCAGAACTGATCGTGCAACAGTTTCACGGGCTGCAGTCATTCTAAGTTGCACTTATCGCTCCATATTCATTTCAGGTCGATGGTCGATATAGAAAATAGATCATCGAACACACCAATTCGGTGTTGGCGGTATAGTTGGACGATACCCTGGTATATCCCTCAACCTAGGAGACAGTCTTGGTATAGCGATTAAACGTCCAACGCCCAGCTCCTATCAAACTCAGGAGTGTCCATTCTTGATCTTGCAGGCCTCCGAGAGGGGCATCAGTTCCAGCTTAAAAGCTCGCTAGAATTTGGAAGGGCTCAAGGTCGATTGCTCATTAACAATGCGTCTCTCTGCTGTCTTCTTGGGCTCCATTGTTGCTTCCGCCTCCGCGACCCTCTATTCGAGGGCGTCGTCCTCCCTCCCTAGTAAGTGTTAATCACATTTCGGTGATCAATTTGGAGCTGATATAATTCAAATCGAAGCTTGCGCTACCGACTGTCTGTCCCAGGCCACCTCAAGTAACGACGGAGGATGTTCCACGACCGATATCACCTGCATGTGCTCCAATAAGCAGTTTCAAACCACCATTCTGCAATGCGTTGAGAGTAAATGTTCTGGGGATGATGTTCAGACAGCGTTGGACACGGCGACGAATTTATGTGCATCGGCAGTAAGCAGTTTGTCATTTTCGCCTGGAATGGCCGCTCACCCGTTGCTCTTCTTCTACTTTTTCGTAGGGTGTAACCATCGATACTAGTGCCCTCCTATCAGCGACCGCTGCCGCCACTTCTTCTGCCTCCACGACCACCACTGGGTCGAGCAGCTCTGCAAGCGCCACCTCCAGGTATTAGCAACTTTACTGGCTATCCTTCATTGCTCTTCGCTTACGAACGCCCCTTACGACAGTAATACCAATGCGGCTCACTCTAATACCCCTCTCTTTGCAGGATTTTTGGGTCTCAGTACAGTCATTGCTTGGATGAATGTTTAACCTACTCAAGATGATGAGGATTAACTATCAGTCCTGTACCTACTGATTAAAAATAACCTAATTCAGGCAATCTGATTTTTCGCTCCGTCTCGTCCCGTCCCGTCCCACTCTCACCTAAAAAGGTTTCAAGAAAATATTGATTGCCCCCTACCAGATTCGAACTAGCGACCTTCTCATCCCCAACTACGAGTGAGACGCTCTACCCCTGAGCTAAAAGGGCACATATCTAGGCTTGGGGTAAGTGGCTATTGCTCATGGTTTTTGTGAGTTATGCACTTCCCATTAAAGGAATTCCGTCGCTACACTGAGAATCAAATCTAACAATCATCTGGTCGCCTTACATGCACAAATATCTCTGTAAGCACTGCGGTATATTCAAATAGATGGATTACAAGTAACAACATTTCAATAGACTGAAGAATAGTTCGGAGGCGCTTCACTACCAGTCGAATAATCTACTTCTCTCCATTGCTCCCCAGTCCTCAGCTCGGCCCCGGGGTCTGCAGATTTCGATGTGTGCTGCCCTTCATGATTTGAAGTACTGGATCCAGAATCTTCGCTAAGTCGGTCAATATACCTTGCTTTCGGTGCCCACCAAGGAAGAGACTCCAGGCTTTTCGCTAGGGATATTGGACGTATCCTTCTTCGAGGAGATGTGTTGAGCCTGGGAAAAGGATCGATGTGGGGTCTCTCTAATGCTACTGTCATTGTATGCGTTTGCACTAAAGGACAACGAGCTGGAACTTACGGCGAACCCTGCTCCTACTGATCCTTCTCCTCCAATAGACAAGAAACAAAAAAACGGAGAATGCTAATGCTACGCCAACTACGGCACCAATGATTGCTCCAGTATGTGTATGTGAATGATGGCGGAGCGATGGGGCAGTCGATGTCGGTTGGGACTGTGGTGAAGAAACGCTTGGAGTTGTAGTTGGGGTTTCCGACCTGGATGAGGTGAAGTTTGGTTTGGTCGCAAGGGAATCAAATGAAGGCCTGTAAGTCAAGTAATCGAAAACGAATGTCTGGTTTCCCAGCGACTGCGTGACGTTTATGAGAAGAGTATGATTGCCTGCTGTAAGATTTGTAGCAGAAAAAAATTGATAGTTCTGTGTTTCTTGCGGCGGGCTGTTGCCAGAAGGGACAACGACATCTGTAGAGGTCGTCTGATTATCCAAAGTAAAATCGAGCGAGACGCTCCCTGTTCCAGTCCAGTCAAAGACCCCATATACACTGATGCTAGTTCCTGGTCATCCGGTCAGAGTGCTTTTGGTGGAATTATTATCGAAAGGAATCACCAGCAAAAATAAATCTCAGCCTGTCTCCCACTGTCCTTGTCCTATGTGTTCCATTCCCTAAAGGTAAGCCATCCACACATCCAACAAAACATCTCATAACTTCATTGGTCGTAGTGTTCCACCCAGGACCTTCATAAATCAATTCCTGGTCAGTGTCATCGACGACAATTGTGCTTTTTTCCAAAGGAGTTGTCATTCCGGGTGTAATGAGTGTATAGTCCAAGTTGACCACAATGCTGGACAGGTTAACAATGTGCAGACCGTCAGCGAGAACTGGAGTTTGATACCACTGAGTATACAGCTGTTTCGGGCCCGCATCTGGGAAGGTGCAGTTATATGGGTCGTTGGCGTCAATGCCAGCCAAAAACCATGTCGGGGAATTTGTTGAAGACGGGGTGTTTCCAACAAATGATATTGAGGTTCCTGCAGGTTCAATACTCTGAGCATAGAATATTTCTACCAGCTGGCTAGCAATAAACCTTGAAAGGATACAACTAGGTCACCTGGAGTTCCTCTTGTTGTTGTACTACCATACATTGCACCCTCATCATTGTATGAAGATGTCCAGTCTCCGCCAGTAAAAGATGAGCTCATGTTGCTACTGTCAAGAAGGAGCCACATCTTCGATTGTTATAGGGAAGTGAGCAGTTTTGTGCTGAGTTTGAGTCTTACAATGGATATGGAAAGGCTGAATGCAATATGCAAGTTTTCAGGGCTTGCTCTGGATATATCATAGTGAAAACCGCTGTTCAGTCATCATGACAGGGAAGCAGTGATGTAGGTGTGTATTCATATGCCACATATCCATATGGTTGCACTGGCCTGGCTTGACACCTTGATTGAGACATTTTATTAGGTTCAAGTTCGTAATGAGGTCACAGTTCAACTTCATAAAATTACAAGTGCATGAAATGTAAGAGAACACTGCATTTTTGTAGTGGTGAAATCCATGCCTGATCCTTTACAGGCAATTTCATATTACAAATTAAATGGGCCCATGGGGCAATAGATTACAGTCTTCATCATAATTACCTCACATCAAATCATAACAATACATTTAGACTAAGCCTGAAGGCAGCAGTGTTTGAGTCACCAGTGTTTGAGTCACCAGATAGGCACAGACACGAGTAGTAGTCGCCACACAGCAGTGTTGGCCCACTCCCAATGGCAGGGCCTCAAGTGAATGCCCTCTCGGCGAGTTACAACCAGCACTGTCATTGGTAAGTATGGCTTCATCAGTAACTCTGTTTTAACTCTGTTTCAGCAGTCCCAACAAAAGGCAAACAACAACTGTTAGATGAGCTGAGCTTCTCTAACTTCTTGCTCCATGAAGCTCCCATAAAGTTGAAGTTGGTTCCAATCAAGTGAAAGCTTTGTTTATTTTAAGAATCAATTGAGTTACAATTGTTACAAATGAGCTACAAATTGCTACAAATAGAGAATTCAAGGGAGAGTGGATATAATCAAAACTTGGGATAAAGTGTCTTCCAAGTTCCCATAGTGGTGTTCTCCAGTAAAGTGAAGAATAATCTGGGGGTGTTTCACTAGTTGAATTATATATGTCTCTATTCTGTTCCTCATTCCTCTCTCCATGAACTCTGGTGTATGTACTCATCAATGTGCATTGTCCTCTGCCAGACTTTGAGGCCACAGGTTCCACCTGTCTACTGACATCCCTTGTCTTTGGTGACTGCTAAGAGTGAGACTCAAGCACTCTCACTGGCATTACAGATACCAACAAGGCCTTGGTTGTTTGGGTACAGTCGAGGACAAACAAAGTCAGCAAATTTTTTGACTGAGTTATTATAAGGTTAGATCATACAAGAGCTAATAGTTTTATATATTCCATACATACTCAGATGTATATAAAGTTATTCCCTCGAGCAAATTTTTTTGATTCTCAATCTTGACCCACTGACCCCCCAAAATTAGCCATTCTACCCAAAAAAAACCTTAAAAATAAGAAAAAAAGAGGAAAGTGCTCCTTTCCCAAAACTGAATACAATCTGATGATTAAAAAGATATCTATCCTGCAAAGATTTATGTATCTTAAAAAGGAAAATTTACATGTGATTTCTGTGGCAACAATTTTGAAGTTCTGTGGGTCCCTTGAGCACTTCAATTTATTTTGTTATGCCTGGAGGACAGTGATATGCATGTTTTTTGCATAGGCCTCTAACAGCCTTGGGTTGACAATCCAGGCTCTAGAATGTATTCAGAGGACAGTGGCCTGCCCAAGCCAGCAAGTCAAAGCCTCATGATGAAAGTCTATATATGAATGGGATGAAGTTGGCTATGGTATCCATATATGCCAGCCCACTATGGTCTCTAAGAGTACCCAACCTGGATGATGGCTGCCCAGCATGTCAAAGCTGGAATATCCAGAGCTTGTCTCTACACATGCAGCTGAGATTCCATACTAGGGGGACACATAGTTTGTGCAACTCAGGGTATAAACCATAGAAAGAACAAGTTTACACTCCAGCTGACATTGGCCAAGGAAACTTCATGAAGTGAATGGATAATCTGAATGCCGTATGTCTTGAAGCTGGTCAGAGCCAGAACTTTGGAACAAATAGTATTGCTGGGATCCAGGAAATCAAATGGACCTGGACCTTAGCCCACCTTGGGTTGATTTGGCCAAGTCAAAGGAAGAATTTAGAACCAGGAGCCATGATTGTTCAACAGTAGGACCATACAGGAAACTTTCCAGAATTGTGCTATGCAGTTTGCACTAAATTATTATAAACTGGATATCATTGGGAAGCTGTCCTACAACTGGTTTGGAATATCTGAAGAGGATAAGCTCTGCCTGGCTATGCTGCCCAGGATAAGCTTGGGCATCAGGAAAAATAGCTTGAGCTTGGGGTTAAATTATAACAACCTTAAGAAACCTAAGAAGCATAGGACACTTCAAGTACTTAGGTTACCTAGGTTTCCACAGTTCAACCCCTATATCCTAGGGTGCCCTAGGTTGTCTTAGGTTGTCTCAGGTTGCCCCAGGTTGGCTCAGGTTGGCTCAGGTTACCTGAGGTTACCCCAGGTTGCATAAAGGGTTAATAAGTAAAAATAATATATCTTTATATATTACTGTTTGTACTCTATTCTACTGTATATAGTGAGCTATTGTACTTGTATAGTAGTAGTAGTAATAGTAGTAGTAGTAGTAGTAGTAGTAGTATTGAACTTGTACATATTTTATGTATAGTATATATGGTGTACATTTTCATCAGGTATTATACTTTATAATGTATTACAGTACACTAGTATTAACCTAATATACTCAAGTACAGTATTTCAGTACAGTAAAGAGCTTATACATGTACATATAGTGTGTATGTAGTATGGTATAATTGTGATATACTTGTTTTGACCATATGAAAATTATTTTGATTGTAGACAGCTCATGGAGTTGCATCATGTGACATATGTCAAATTTCAGTTTCTATGAGTTATCTACAACTAAAAAGGTGTCCTTGTCATGCATTTAGGATAGATTAAAGCATAGGTATATATATTCAATACAATTTTGCCTTATTTGGTAATATTTACAGCATTACTCCTCAGGTATCCTTGGGATACCTGAGGTTTGCCCAGGATATTGGCATTTCCTAGGTTACCTGAGGTTCACCCAGGTTGCACAGGTCACCTAGGTCACCCAGGTCCCTCAGGTTGCTCCAGGTTGCCTCCTAGGTAACCTGAGGCTCAGACCATTTTTCCTGATGGGAGTAGTTAAGCATGGCTAGTCATGCTAGCCAGTGCAGGATAGGATGAGCTGTGATGCAACACTTGAGTGCACATGAAAGGAATATAGGAACATGAATTTAGCCAATGTACTGAAGGACTGGTCAGGCAACATATACCAGAAAATGAATCTTTCTTTATTTCTTTATGTTTTACCAAGATTTACTACTCAGTTTGTACC